AGGGATGGGCAATTAGTGGCTTTCAAAGAGAATTTTAAAAGCCCAAGATAATTTGGTTCTAGCCTGCACCATTTTAACTCACCACAATCACTGTAGAGCTTTTTTTCTTTTACTTTTTGATTTTTTTGTCAGAACCAGAATTAAGCACCATAATTCCAACCCTTCCATCCGACAAATTACCCTTAGTTGGAGCAGTGTGTTCTGTGAGTTGGCATTGAGTACTTTTAAAGCATATATATGCTTTATTTATATATTTATACATATATATGCTTTAGAATATATATATATACATATATAATGGCAGAAGTGCTTATCTAGGATAACCTCATCAAATGAAAGGGAGAAGCAGAATACTGTGGAACATTCCTTTACACTGTATGAAGGTATGTCACTGTGCATGGTTTAATATAGAGATGAATAGCCAATAGCTAGGCAGGGGAGGTCAGGTGGGACTTCTGAGGACATAGGTCTCGGGGAGAAGAAAGGTGGGTCACCATCAGGAGACAGAAGCAGCAGCCCGTGCATGAGGTTAGGTAAAAGCCATGAGCCATGTGACAGCACATAAAGTTATAAAAGCTAGTTAGAAATAAGCCTAAGGTATTGGGCAAGCTTTCATAATTAATAAGAAGTCTCTGTGTTGTGATTTGGGCACTGCTGGCCTGTACAGCAGAAAGCATCACCTCGGAGAGTAGGGTGGTCAAGACAAGGACCTGGAGTCTTGGTTCTCAGCAATGTCCCCCAACTGTGGCTCGATGGCAGGAGAGTGACGTGGCAGTTTCGTGCTTTGGTAGCTTCCAGGGCAGACATAGTGTGCTGCCTCACAGGAAGGTACCAGTCTGAACCTGCTAGCAGTTGTATTAGAGCCAGATTCCACAGCTCCTAGCTCCCTCCCTCTCTCTCCCTCCCTTCTCCTCCTCCCCTTCCCTCCTCCCTCCCCCTCTTTAGTTTTTGGTTTCATGTGTACAGCTGTTTTGTCTGCATGTCTGCCTGCACATGACACACATGACTGGTGCCCAGTATATGTCCGGAGTTTCAGAGGGTTGCAAACCACCATATGGGTGCTGGGATTGAACCTGGCTCCTCTGGAAGAGCGGCATGCAGCACGGTTGAGCATCTCTCCAGCCCCTACGCTGCTTTTCTTGAAGGTCAGTTCATTCTCAACAAGCTGGATTCTCAGCACCACCCTTCAACTGGTGTGACTGCCAATGCAGAGAAAAACACCATAGAGACCACCAGGTGGCGCCCCAAAGCCAACAAGAACGCCAGTTACCCTACTCAATACCAGCGTGATAAAGCTGCATAAATAACTTACTGACCGTGTCCTTTGCCTTACAGAAGTTTCTCAGTCTCAGGAGGTCCCATTTATTGTTGTTCTCAGTGTCTGTGCTACTGGTATTATATTTAGGAAGTGGTCTCCTGTGCCAATGCATTCAAGGCTACTTCTCATTTTCTCTTCTATAAGGTTCAGTGTGGTTGGATTTATGTTGAGGTCTTTGATCCATTTGAACTTGAGTTTTATGCATGGAGACAGATATGGATCTAGTTGCATTCTTCAACGTTCCAGCATCCAGTTATTTCAGCACCATTTGTTGAAGATGCTTTTTCCCCCCATTATATAATTTTGGTTTCTTAGAAAAAAAAACAGGTGTTCATAGATTGTGGATTAGTATCAGGGTTTTCAATTCATTTCATGGTCCATCTGTGTGTATTTATGCCAATACCAGATTGTTTTTATTACTGTAGTTCTATAGTAGAACTTGAAGTCAGGGGTGGTGATGCTTCTGTAAGTTCCTTTATTGGACAAGATTGTTTTAGCTAACCTGGCTTGTTCATTTTTCCATACAAAGTTGAGTATTGTTCTTTAAAAGTTTGTGAAGAATTGTGTTGGAATTTTGATGGGGATTACATTGAATTTGTAGATTGCTTTTGTTAAGATTGCCATTTTTACTACGTTGATCCTACCTATCCAAGAGCATGGGAGATCTTTTCATTTTCTGATATCTTCTTCAATTTCTTTCTTCAAAGACTTCAAATTATTCAGACACGAATAGTTCCTCAGAGGCATGCACAGTGCTTTGAGTTTTGGTGGATTCCATATGTAGTTAATCTGACAAGCAAGATCAGTATCACAGATTTACACACACACACACACACACACACACACATCATGGTAGGCACACTGCTCAAATAAATGTAATTAAAAATTAAATCCTGCACTCTCTGGGCTCTTAGTTAGTGGTCACTACCCATTCCACATCAAGTGACAGACAGACTATTTTCAACTTGATTTTAACAACTCAACTTTGCCACCACAGCTCAAATACTGTCATAAGCAATACATAGCTAAATGTTGAGACTATATTTACAAAACCAAGTGTATAGTAGTTTGAATGGAATTGGCCCCCAGAAGCTCATAGGGAGTGGCACTATTAGGAGGTGTGACTTTGTTGAAATAGGTGTGGCCTTGTTGGAAGAAATGTATCACTGTGGGGGCAGGCTTTGAGGTCTCCTATATACAAGTACATCTGGTTCAGAACACTTCTTGTTGCCTGAGGATCAAGATGCAGGACTCTCAGCTCCTTCTCCAGCACCTGGCCTGCCTGCTGCCACCATGTTTCCTGCCATGATGGTAGTGGACTAACCCTCTGAAACTGTAAGTCCATTAAATGTTGTCCTTTATAAGAGTTGCTGTGGTCACGGTGTCTCTTCATAGCAATAGAACACTGACTAAAACAAGATATAAGACTACAGTTGGCCCATGAGCCAAGAGTTCATCAACCTTTTCTCTTGAAGGGACAAAAAGCCATATATGGAAAAGTTAGACACTGGTAACTCATGCCAAGAAATGACATAGAAGATTTAACTGTGCTCTTTGAAGACATTTTAGGGGTATTTGAACTAATTATATTTTCTTGGAAGTAATTAAAAATAAGCCAGAGCTTTGGCAGGATCAAGCTTCTGTAGGGTGACCCACAGCCCCAGTAGTCAGGGAAGAGCTGGGACTCCAGCTTCCGTGAGCATAGGGTCCTCTGAGAGACCACTTTCCCCCCCTACTGACTCTCCCCACAGCAGCCACATGTAGCACGATAATAAAAGACCCAGAGACTGATATTGGGGTTCAAGCTTCAAACTGGAGACTGATACTGGGGTTCAAGCTTCAAACTGAAGATCAGAAAAGCAAAGCAGCCGGCCATTAGCTCTCGCCTCTGCCTCAGCTCAGACCTGAGGGGTGATCGATCCTTAGACTGCAGATTCACTCAGACTGCTATGCTCTCCTCAACGTGACTAGAGACTAAACTCTCAGACTGAATGCCTCTACCTTTTATACCTCTCAGATCCTGGGATTAAAGGTGTGAGCTCTCCAGTAGCCCAGGGTGGTCTTGGACTCTTAATCCTGAGTCCTGGGATTAAAGGTGTGTCCCACCACTGATTGATCTGTATAGATCGAGGCTGACTTTGCTTTCCGAACGACATATCACCACACCCACAACTTTGGCTCTTCAGCATGGATCTAGCGTGTGCCTTCAGGGACAATGGTCCAGGACTTCCACGCACCAAGCCCAAGGCTGATGCAGAGAGAGATCTCTGTCCCCGCCTTTCCTTGGTAATTCCTCTAGAACAGAAGCAGGCTCCTGCTGGGGAAGTGCCTCAGCCTCAGTTGCATGTCATTACATTGGGCAGCAGTCACACAGCTGAGGCAATGGCTTGAGGGCAATCTCTCTCCATTTGCCGTACTCAGGAACAGCCATTTTCAGAGTGTCCTTATAGACACACCAAGTCCATAGCACAGACAAGACAATGGACACCAGCATTCTCCCCATGGACACTCCATATCCAGATAGCTCAGCCTCAGGCACCTGTCTTACAAGCCATGAAACCAACACCATGGTAACAAGGTACACCATCACTTTTGTTTATGCTGCATTTGTTTACCTCTGTGAAGCTGTGTTACTGTGCCTGTCTAACACTGGATGGTCTAATAAAGAGCTGAATGGCCAATAGGTAGGCAGGAGAAAGTATAGGTGGGGTTGAGAGAATGAACAGGAGGAGAAATCTGAGAAAAGGAGGAAGAAATGAGAGAAAGAGCCAGATATAACAAGGAGTGGAGGACATCAGGGGCCAGTCACCCAACAACCTGGCCAGTCACAAAGTAAGAGTAAAAGTAGTAAGAAAAGGAAAAAGTCCAAGGCAAAAGGTAGTCAGGATAATTTAAGAAAAGCTGGTGAGAAACAAGCCAAGCTAAGACTGGGGATTTGTAAGAGAGAATAAGCCTCTGTGTGTGAATTATTTGGAAACTGAGTGGCAGCTTCCCAAATGAGCAAAGAACAAAAAGCCAAAAGAGTGACGTTAAAAAAAAGTATAAAACAAACACCAACAGCGTCTTGGCATTCTGACGTGGGGCTAGAGTAAAATCCAACAACTAATGTGTTAACTTTTTCTAGGGGAAAACAGGAGTCTCTTCACCTCAGACTGAGTAGAATGATAGACCAAACTGTGTTTCCATCAAAGCCCAGCTTGACGAGTTTACTATGGTTGCTTACAAGCACGGGTGGAAGTCACTTACAGAGCCGCATCCTCACAGACTCCCATGCTATCGTGAGTGATGGCATCAAGGGAGCTGCATCACAAGAGTTCCCCTTACAGTTAACCTTTTGTTTCCTAGTGGACTACATTTCCCAAGATCACTTGCAGCTGCAAGGGGGACTGGGCAGGAACAATAGCTTGAATTTCAGGTGAGGACTCATGATCCCTCCCTCGTTTATCTACTGCTTTTACAATAGACTTGGCTGTCACAGCAATACTTTGATCATTAGTAGTCAAGGCTATCAGGCCAACCTAGTCTTTGCCTCAAGACATCCTCATGTTATATCGAGAGGAAAAAATGCCACACAACAGGTGGAGTAGAAAATGGGTAGATGGATAATGAATAGATGGATGGATGGATGTAAGGATGGGTAGATTAACGGGCAGAAGGATGGGTTAAAAACGAAATAGATGGTGGCCTTTGTGTTGCCAGTTCACCTTTGGTCACTGGTGCATGTGGCGTCAAAAAAGGCATAAATTAATGCTTTGCAGTCATTTCTTACCCTGGAGTTCGGTATCTTGGGTTGTAGGAGCTGCATGCATAAGTAAGAAAAAATGAAACAAAACAAAAACTAAATAGATGAATGTCTGACTCGTGTGTGGATACGTGGATGTCAAGAAGAGAGGAGGGCTGACCGGGTGGTTAGCTGCTGAGAGACACCGACAGATGAATAGACAATGGTTATATTGTGATGGGTGAATTGTGATTGTTTTATTGGCAGAAGGGTGAAGGAACAGAAGGGATGCTTAATACAGCGGAGCCAGACTCTCAGAGCAAGAGCTGCACTCACTATCAACTCACCTGAGCAAGCAGAGCATTGCTGCCACGGAGGAGGGGTCTTGGGAGTTGGTAGTCCAGGCATTCCACAGAGTCACAGGTGGGCAGGAAAGACATTGCCGATTGTTTCCTCTTGCAGGAGACAGATGCAGGCCTAGAAGTGTCCCTGTTGTCTGCCCCAAAGCCAAGTACAGACATTGTCCTAAGTCCCACTCACAGCCCTGCTGATGAAACACACACACACACACACACACACACACACACACACACACACACACACCAGGTCTAGCTCATTGGCTGAGGGGCCATCATATCACTAAAGTCTTTGTCTTCATCTAATGTGCTTGAGGGCAGAGAGCCCCACTGTGGAGCACATGGTGCTGGGAACGAGTTCTTTAAAGTCCACCAGCTCATCTCTTTCCCTTTCCCTTCTACATAGGATGCCCCAGAGTCCAGCAAAAGCAGTTAAGTTCTCATGAGAGCAAGAAGAGTCAGTGAGACCCTTTAGAGGTGTCCATAAGGTCCAAAATCGAGACTCAAATGTGGTTTATAGCACCAGACTGCTTCCACAATAAAACCACAAGGAGGTTCACGCATTCAGGGAAGGCTTCCTTCCGGTGGCGTTGGCCAAGAGGAAAGACCCCATAATTTTAAACAATGACCAGCAGGGGGTGCACAATGGCCAGGTTTGGATCAACCCTCAATGCATCCCTCAATGCTCCATCTGTAAAATGGGGGCAATAACAATGTATGGCATAGGGGTGTTCAGAGAAACAAGAGCTGAAGGGCATCCGGCACGTGCTGAGTGTTGTTCTTTGCTGCAGTTTTGGGTGATGAAGCACAATCCACCAAACTCAACAAACCTGCATGAAGTTTATTGGCAAAGGGAGCAAAGGGAGGGGTAGGTGTTAACCAACCAGGAGCAGAAATGGAAAGAGAGAGAACAGGCAGGAGGCACTTGCTTAAGAAGCTGAATGGGGCTGGGCGTTGGTGGCGTACGCCTTTAATTCCAGCACTTGGGAGGCAGAGGCAGGCGGATCTCTGTGAGTTCGAGGCCAGCCTGGTCTACAAAGTGAGTTCCAGGACAGCCTCCAAAGCCACAGAGAAATCCTGTCTCAAAAAAACAAAAAAAAAAACAAAAAAACAAAAAAAAGAAGCTGAATGGGAGTGGTTTAGAATGAGGCTCAGCAGTTGGGGCCATTGAAATCAGAGTCATGGAGCTGCCGTTGGCCCAGCTCTGCATGGCCCCAGCTCCTCGTGGTTTCTGTGTACAGAGTCCTCACACAGCCACTTAGCACACGCACTACGTAACCATGCAACACAGGGCCCTTTGAGCTGTCAGCATAATGCCAGGATATCAACAAGGAATACATGGAGGAGCAACCACCCAGCAAAGACAGATCCCTGGGTAGGGAGAGAGCCTGAGGGTTAGAGAGACACTGTGACCAGGAAAGGTTCCCTGAGGAGAAGGCCCAGGCCCAGGAGAGAGCTGGGGAGGAGTGACAGGCACAGGCGGGTGCTGAGGAGAAACCCCTGGGATGGGAGATGCTGTTTGTCCTTCTAATACTGGAGAGTAAAATGGCGTTCACGTGTGGCATGTGCCCCAAGACGGTGCTAAGGATCGGGAATGATGCTGAACAGGTCACGAACTTGGTTCCCCAGTGCCTCCACCTCATCAGTGGACAAACCCTGTTTTTGGGTTTGTAGACCGGTGGGCCTGGTTGGAGTAAACGGATCACTGGGGACGTGCCCTTTGAGGTGATAGCATGTCCCAGTCCTTTGCCCTCACTTTCCCCGCCCTGCTTCTCGGCTGCTGTGTGGGACAGGCATCTCTGCTCTGCAACATCCTACCTTAGCATAGACACCAAACTAGCAGACTCCAGTGACCATGGACGAAGTCTCTGACATGTTGACCCAAGGCTTTCTCCTTCAACTTGATCTCAAACATGTTGTCATGGTGCTGGAAAGCTAACAAGAGACACTAGCAACACAAGGAAGATTAATGATCCCCGAGGGCCACGCAGTTATCATATAGAACAATAGATAACAGATAATTTAATCACTTTCAAGCCTAAGCGCATGGCCAGGAGAGAAAGAAAGATGCTGCAAACCAAGAAGGGCCAGGGGGTGGCACCGGAGCACACCCAGCCTTTGTCTGGAGTTCGGCTGTTACCAGGACAATGAACACTTTTTAAAGGACCCTCTCAAGCAAGATGGCTTCTTCCACTTATAGGCATTAAGAGGCCAGTGTAGCCCAGTCAGGCTGCTTTGGAAGCTTTTGAATGTTTTTCTGGAAGTATTGGATATACTTTGCTTCAATTGTCAATTTGGCACAAACCTACAGTCACCTGAAAAGAGGAAATGTCACCTGAAGAAATGCTTTGATCAGACTGGCCCATGACCATACCAATGAGTCATTTTCTTAATTGCTACTTGATAGAAGGCCCAGTCCACTGTCTTGGTGTTTATCACACAACAGAATAGCAAACTAAAACAAAAATCCACTGGACCAACTATACAAAGTAAAAATATTCACTCTCTCTAGGAAATGAAAGACAAGAGCACTGATAATTCTGAGTCAAGAGTTGAAAAAATAAGCCGGGCGTTGGTGGTGCATTCTTTTAATCCCAGTATTTGGGAGGCAGAGGCAGACCTGGTCTACAGAGCGAGTTCCAGGACAGCCTCCAAAACAATACAGAGAAACCCTGTCTCGAACCCCCCCAAAAACAAAGAGTTGAAAAAATAATATCCACTGAGTATATGTAGACAGACATTTTTTTGAGACAGATTCTCACTATGTAGCCCCCAACTGGCCTCTAACTCAGATTTGCCTGCCCCGCCTCCTGCCTCCTGCCTCCTGCCTCCTGCCTCCTGCCTCCTGCCTCCTGCCTCCTGCCTCCTGCCTCCTGCCTCCTGCCTCCTGCCTCCTGCCTCCTGCCTCCTGCCTCTGTTGGGATTAAAGGTATGGGCCAAAATGCCTGATTAAACAGACTATTCATATCTAACAAGCTAAACGCTCATGCCATGTGCCAGCATGGCCCCTTTCCATCTGCATCCCCAGGGCCTGGCACAGTGCGAGGGCACATTGGATGCCCTAGCAGATGTGCTCCCAAGTGAGTCCCTGCTAAGTGAACTGATGGCACCTCCTCACCACCCAGCCTGGGCATTCCTAACCATTGCACTGGGCAAGCTTCTGAAAAGCCACCCTTTGGATGTGTCAGCTGGCTAGAAGCACCCAGAGAGCAGCTGTCTGAGAAGTCATTCTGAAAGGGAGGTGCCGAGCAAGGCTCCCAGCCTACCATATGGTTCCAGCTGGCAGCTGACAATCACTGTGGCTAAACTGGCATGCCGAGGCCATGCTGTAGTGTGGGTTTGCAAGGGCCCCAACAGGTTGGCCTTTACCCTCACTTTGGTGGTAGTAAAAGAGGCTTAAACTGCCCCGGCCCGTGGGACATTCAACGTGGGGGCTGGAGGGTACCTAGGGGAAAGCTGAGAGTAGGAGATACGAAAGAATGGACGCCAAGACAGGAGTCTGACCAAGGCGACAGCTTTATTTCATCCCAAAGGGATTCATATAGAGGAAGGGAGGAGGGGAAGGAATGGGGGTGTGCTGCAGCTGCAATGACCTTGGTGGAGCAAAGGTCAGTGGGGAGTGCTGCCTGGAAACCTAATTTGCAGGGCAAAATGTTGGGGGTAGAACCTCCTGTGTTGCTAGGTAACCTGACTGTAGGTTCTTACTTTATCTGTCTCCATCTTTCCTATGTCGTTGCCTAACTCCTGGCAGAATTGGGGGCTTTCTGTTGAGCTAATCTTTAACTGCTAATTAAGCTTCAGGCCTGTTTCTGGAATTTAGCAGAGGTAGCAGGGTGGCCCAGAGTCACCTACTCTCTATGAGGGTTGAATCATGTCTTCTCTTATGAGTACGTGAGGCAGCCATATCTGGTTGATGGCCAGAGGACCCAGACATCTCCCCCTTTCTGGTTAAATAGAAATTAGGTGCAGCCGGAGTATAAGTTATCCGAAAACCACAAGGATGATGGAGCCTGTCTTAGGATCGATCTGAGAGGCTTCCACCTTACCCGTATGGAATACTTTGCCAGCCATCAAAGCTCCTGACTTAGGGGGCGAAAGCATCAGAAGGGAGCACGTCCTTGGTCTGCCATCTGTGGGTAAAGAGGCCTTGGCTGGGGCTGCATGGGGCCCATGAGCAGATTATGTGCCCCGGGGGAGTTTGTCTCCTTTATGCTATGCTGGGAACATTAGGAGAAGGTGGCCTTCCTCCTTGCCATCGCTGTCCTCAGCTTTCTGAGAAGGACCACTCTCCTTCATGGCCAACCTCTGATAATGGATCTGGATAGGCCTTGCAGCAAGATTATCTACTTGCTGTTTACTAAGGTCCATCAGGCACCTAAGGGCCCATGGGCCAAAAGAAATAAGCGATATAAAGCCTAAGAGAAGGCCCAAGATGTTGGGCAATAAGGATAGTCAGGAAGAAGTGGAAAACGAATTATTTTACCAACTCCCCTGTTGCTTCCTCTCTCTCTTTTTTCTAGATCCTCTCTGATTTTTTTCATACTGTCCTTAGCTCTTCCTGTCTTACTGACATAAAGCAACACTCTTCCCTAAGGGTAGCACAGAGGCCTCCTTGTTGCAGGAACAGGAGGTCTAACCCTCTCCGGTTTTGTAGGACGACCTCAGCCAAAGAGTCGATGGAATCCACAAGGTCGTCTATTCCTTTTTGGAGCCGCAGGATGTCTGCATCGATGGTTGAGCGCA